CAAACAGCAGATGCACAGCTGAGAAGAGCCAAGGCCCTGACTACACTCACTCTGTGGAGAGCCAAATCCCTGAAGGAGAAATCTCTTCACTTACAACCCATAAAAAGATAAAGGAGGTAGCAGACAAATTATTAATTCAATAAGGTCAACTACAAAATACTTCAGGCAGATGCTAAATTGCCATTAAAACCATGCTCCCACCAGGTGGTGCTAAAGGGAAAAGATTCTAAATGATTAGGAAATTAAAAATTGGGACCTTAAATTTTCTTTTGCAGAGAAACTGGAATAGATTAAGAAAATATGCCTTACAGGCATGAGAGGACAGCATATTTGAATGATTAATTATCAAAGTAGACCAGTTTTATGGTTGACTTTACTGAGAACCTAAGAACGTTTTGGGTTTTAAGAAGCAATTTCATGAGGAATATATTCTTCTTCACTCCTGGGATGCAGCCTACATAACTCAAAACTTCCATGCCTTAGTAATACCACTGTCCCTGCTGGAAATGCCTTCCCCGCGCCTCTGTTCACTTAATCCCACTCTCCAAGGCCTCGCCCCACTCCCCCAGCCCTGAGTGATGCCTTCTTTCTCTGAACTCCTGGACCACTCATTGTGTAATCATTTGTTGATGATCTTTTAATTTTTCCAAGTAAATGTTGATGATCTTTTCAACTGATACAAAGCCAGCTTTTATTAGCGAAATAAAGTGACTAATTTTCCAGTGACAAAAGCAGCATCAAATCCTTTTATGAAAGTTTCCATATCTATATATAAATTTGTATTTGGAACCACCAAGCAAAATATAGAAAAAGATCCCCCTTTACATTTACCATCTGAAATAATGCCATGCAGAACAAGGACTGCCTGAACCGTTTCTAGTCCTAAGGTCTAGGCATTAACTACTTTAATACAGTCTAGGAGTCGAGCAGATCTAACAGATGTCCATGGATATGCATCTTTGCATCAAATCAACTTTCTTAGATGATTTAAGGCCTTCTAACTTCCAAAAAATTTTTAAATGTAAGCCTATTGCTCTAAGTGTGAACAAGATTGACTTAAGATTCTCAATGTATAAAACAAGTGTCTAATAGACAAGAGGAGCTGATGGAGCAAGATTAACCATCAAAATTCAATAGTAAGAGTGTGAAAGAAAGCAAAACAAAACAAAAAATAAAGAAATTTCAAGAGGTCCATGAATTTGGATTGGGGGGACAGGGGCAATGTGGGAGGGGGATATTACACTTTATTTCACTCATTTTTACTAGAAATTTAACATTTCCCAATTATGAATATAGGCAGCAAAGCACAGCACTATTAGAATTATCCAAAATTAGATTTTTATACCGTTTTACAGTTGATGCCAGTATATTAAAACATCATTTACATTTATCACTACTTCTAAGTTGTGTTAGTTATTAAACTTGCCACTAGATTACCTGTGATCATAGTCTTCCTCATCTGGTGTGATGAGGCTGGACAATGATTTAGCATCTCTCCTCCAAGCTACCAAATGGTGACATCACACACTGGTAGTCCAAACATGTACCAGTATGAAGGTCCCAGTATTCCCCACTTCTAAGTGTTAATCAAAGACCACCCCACAGTGTAATGATCTTACACAAACTAAGCAAAAACAATCTTCATGCTGCTGTCTTTAGAAAATAAAACTTAACTTCCCCATGTTTTAAATGAATAATCTTTTTATTTAATGTATAAGAAAGCACAAAAGAAGCAAAAAAAGAAAACAAAAAAAGTAAGTAATTTATAAGAAAGCACAATTTACTGTATCACAAGTAATTTTTAAAAATAATTTGATAACTGCATTTCAATGTAATTGGTATTTTTTAATGACATGTATTTAATTTTAAGTACTTAAAATATTCTGACAAGGGACCCACAACATTAAAAAGGTTAAGAACGTCTGATCTAATGTGATCTAAGTCATAAATTTGTTGTTCATTCATTCATTCATTCATTCATTCAGTCAGCAAGTATTTATTGAGTACCTACTATAATACCAGGTTGAACTATTTGAAATTGTTAATATTTGACTGTTTTTGACCTGCCAAAATGGCAATTTCATGAGGTTCAAACTAATACATACTTGTCAGGCCCAACCTCTAAGCCCACTAAGAAGAAAAATATTTATGGAGTAAAACAATAATCTTGAAATTAGAAAGACTGATGCCTGGAGAAGAAGTTAAAATTTTATGAAATGAGTAAGAGGCAGCACACAGAAAGCAAGAAGTCACAGGAGGCAAATGGCCATAGGGAATTGTCCATTTAATTATCCTGAATGAGAATGACCCAAATATAATGTTAAGCCTCTATTATTTTCTACAACCTAACAGTGATGAGAAGCCTTTCCCCAAAGCTTTATTAATGCTTTAATAATTTTCTCAAGTTATAATATTAAATAATGAAAAATCTTCCACTTTATAATAAGAAGTCCACTTTAAGTTCAATATTAAAGCAAGTAAGAATAGTATCTTATATGTGTACGGTGCTTTACAATTTACACAGTAATTTCATAGACATTATTCTATTTGATCCTAAACACACTCCTACAAAACAGCCTGGGAGATATGAGCCCCATTTCTCAGGTGGATACAGCACATATCCAAGGGGACCTGCAGAAAAATCTTAAAAACGAATCTTAACTATAAGCCAGCTTTTCTCTTTGTTCTCTGTCAAGTAATAAGGTTGAAGGAGGCAAAATAGCAAAGTGCTTCAAAATTCAGTAAAACTAGGTCTGAATCTCAATCCATCACTCACTCTCTACACATCCCTGAGAAAGTCCTTTGGTATTTGTGAGGACAAATTTAATAAAGTGGGAATAACAGCATCTTCAGATTAAATGAGATACAGTAGTTAAAGCCCATACCATCAGCTATAGCAGCTGCTCTTACCACTAGCACTTACATTTTTATTATTTTGAGTCTCTTACATAAAAGAACTCAGGAAAGCACTGTTGTTCAACAGACCCAGCAAAGGCTATAGCATTCTGATGTACGGCCCCACAATGACTCCGGTAAGTCACCTGACCTCTCTACATTATCATCATTCCATCATTGTAAAGATTTTTGAGAAAGTAACATAACCAGTTTCACAGTGTTTGGAGACCTACTTTTCTTCACTATCTAAACATTTCAAAATCTCCTATGTTAGAAGCTCTGATCAGGAGTTGACTAAGAGCTACTACCTGGAACACCTAGAGCTGATGTTCGTTCACTCACAGAGCCTTCTATCTCATTTCAGATAAGGACCAAATAATAAGATCTTTAATTAGATCACGGGTAAAAGCTAAAACCAGAATCCGGCAATACCAAAGGAAGGACATTGGGTGAAAGAATGTGTCTAAGTAAAAGAGAACGATTTCCCCATCCTAGAGGCAAAGGCTCCAAAGCAGGCAGGCTCTTACTTACTCTTGGCTTACCACCTCCTCATCCTCTGAGGATGATGCTGTTTCCTCCAGGTCCCGGGCCATCACGATTGGCATGTCCTTTAGGGTTTGTCATGCAGTCAGCAGACGGGGGGCCTCAGAGACCTTTCTTTGCAGAGTCACTGGATCAAACAATTTGGGTGGCACAGATACCTGTAGGGAAGCCAAATGATGTGAAACACGATGTGAGGTCTGTTTGTTCATGATTGCTGACGATCTTCCAAGCAATGAAAATGAGTATGTACCTCACCGGTGCCCAACCTCTAGGCGCTTACCTTCTATCACAGTGCCTCGCATATGCCCCCCAAATCAAGTGTTTTTGCCCAACAACACTGTCTGTCCACTATGTATCCAAAGAACTGTTACTAAGTTTGAGTTTGTCATTTTTCTTTTATACACAGTATCTAACATGCACCAAAAGGACAGACTTACCTAACTTTTAGGGAAGTCTGAGGTAGGAGGAGGATTGCCTGAAACATATATTCCTTGCTGTTAAAACCTGACCTGGGTTAAAAGTAAAAACTCAAGATTTAAAATACTTGTAAATATTTACTTGGCCTCTTACGACAAACACACAGATAAAATGCCGTCAGGTTTCCACTAAAATTCAACTACTGAACCAAAAGATTAATATATTCTCCTGAATCGAGGTCATAAATAACTGGGGGGAAAAATGTCCTTCCAAACACTCAAAAACTACTGTCCCTTGCTAAAAATCACAAACTAGGAATTGAATCTCAAAGAGACATTAAAATTAGGATGTTTTCCATTTCTAACTTAAAATTTTTCCACGGGGTAAAAGTATACGTTTGTTGTGCCTGAGCAGGGAATAGAAAATAGATCAAGAAAATGAAAATATTTAAATGATCATAATCCCACAATTCAGAGATAACCACTTGATGTAACTCTCTCTAAACCTCCTTTTGCTATGCATTCCTAGATACGGTGAAATTATAAACGGAACCAAAAAATGCCGGCCCCGATCACGATCCCTGCAGACCTTCCGCGGAATGGGCAATACCCAACCACCTCCAGAGGCGTTCTTCCGAGGACTCCCCGCAGGGTTTCTCCATCTCTCCCCAATGTTGGCATGTCCTTCCAATTAAAACTGAACGAGGCTGCCTGCAGGGCGGCGGGGAGAGAGCGGGCAGGACATCCGCAACAAGATGAGGGACACTCGCTCTAGGGATCAGCCCGCCAGCCCCACCCCAATTCCCGGTAGGTCCGCAGATGCGCCCCGCGGGAAGGGCGCAGGCAACTCAGCCCGGCGCGCCCGGAAACCTACCGCAGC